TCATATCTTTTCTAAGTTTGGTATAATGAACTCCCTGTCCCGCAGCTCAAGTGTCGCTCGCCGCGATTCTCGGAGTTCCAGCCGACTACCCTCCGCTCGCCCTTCTTCAGGAGGACCCCGCCGGCACCGCCTCCTTCCTGGTGGACGAAATCTCTTCCCTCGCCATGTCGGTCCTCCAGGTGGGTGACGCGTTTCACTTCAGGCTCACAAACAGACACATGCAGAAGGGCGTCATGTCCAATTTAAGATAAAGAACAAACAGACACATGCAGAAGGGCGTCATGTCCAATTTAAGGTTTAGAACAAACAGACACATACAGAAGGGCATGATGTCCAATTTAGGATAAAAGACAAACAAACAGACAAACACAGAAGGGCGTAATGTCCAATTTAAGATAAAGAACAAACAGACAGACAAAGGCTGAAGCTTGAAGGATGTGAGATATGTTCGGTTTTTACTTCCGTCGTTGCGTTTTCGTTTGTGGCGACACATTCGTCGTTCTGTTCGCTTGGCACAATATCTGTTGTTAGTCTTTATCCTGGTTTCCGCAGGGCAAAACAGTCGACTACGAGTGGGTGGGTGGGATGTGCAACAGGAGCAAGGGCGTGAGCAGCGTCGTCCAGCTCGTGTGTTTCATCCTAGACAACCCACAGCCGCCCGAGTTGCATTCCAACCTCACCGCCATCATCACTGCATCCGTGGTAAGTACCTGTGGTAGCTGTGTGTCGTTTTCTTGGACAGCTTAGCGGGGGTTCTTTAGTCTGCGATTCCTACTTGGAACTCTTTCTTTCGTTGCTGAAACCCATTCCATTTCTTACACGTCTTCAGGAGAGCTTCGCGAACCCGAATGGAGTCGTCCCCCAGGTGAAGGCGAAGGACGTGCTGGATAGTGTATCTCTGCTGGTGGAACGTCTACAGGGCTTCGATGTGAGCCGCCTTCTGAACTTAGGTTTGGCGGAAACCTTCTTTAACGCTTCCATGGCGGAACTGGAGGTGTTCAAGGCGGAACTTCTGGACCTGCAGAAGCAATGGTTCGTCAAGTGTGCTTCGTCTTCAAGCTAAACTCTCACATTCCTATTAACTAAGAGGACTAAGTCGTCTTGGAAGTATTTCATTGTTACACCTTACTTGAATTTCCCTTCGCTCTGTCGCACTTATTTTCAAAGACGTCTATTTTTTCTTTGTGTTTTCACACCTGTCACCTTACTTGAATTTCCCTTCGCTCTGTCGCACTTATTTTCAAAGACGTCTATTTTTTCTTTGTGTTTTGCTAGGCTCTGGAAGGCTGCAGATGCGGTTGTCTCGCAGAATGCGAACGCGTCTGAGGTGGTAAGGAAGGCTAGCGTCATTCTCACGTATATCCTACAGTGGCTGCCCGCCTCGCCAGGTGCGCTAAGGAGCACTTTTTGTTTTCTTTATCAAGTTAATGGGGTGATTTATTTCTGTTTTAAGTTGTGAGTGATCATGAGAAGTTATTAGGAAGTCGCTTATCAAAGTTAATTGATAATACTTATTTTGCACAAAAAAATCACCATTACTTGTATCAAACCGCAAAAGAAAAAAATCCAGATGTACTTCACGTCCGTCACAATATATTACAGATGACGTAAACTCGTTGATCCCCGCACCTCTGCTGAGCATCCACCAACTCCTCAATTCCACCTGGATCGACCTGCTGGACGGATTCCACCACAACCTCATGCTCAACCCCGGCCTCGTCAACCTCACTCTGCCGGAAATTTGTTCCTCGACCTCCAACCTCGAGGAGCCCTCGGGAGGAGCTGGGAATTTCTTAGAAACCCTCGAGACCCTCTGCCAGCTGGTCTCGGACCTCGCTGCGGAAGACTGGCTGCAGTTCGGTCAGCTGTTGAGTGATTTGGTAAGTTGGTCGTTATCTGTTTCAATTATCCTAATCACTTTTTATCGTTAGCAGTATGGAGGATATCTTTTTGAATATATGATATGTTGATCATCATTTTCTCCTTCCATACTTATCCACTCGATTAATTTTGACTGTTACATTTCCACTCCCCGCCCCTTCCTCCCGCCCCTTCTTCAGGAGCCTGGCGGAGGGAAAGGAAATGGAGGTAATAACATGCAATCAGGTACCAAGGAAATCTACGACCTTGGCCAAGAAGTGTTCGACCGCCTGCGCGTCTTTCTGGAGGGAGCGGACCAGTCGTTGATGTCCGATTTCTTGCTTCAGCTGCAGTCGTACCTGAGCTGGGGAAACTGGGAGGATCTCCTGGGGAGGATTCAGGCGAGGAAGGAAAATAGGTAAGGTCTGATTTGACGTCGATTTTTTTCCTAGATGAAGATATGAATTTCATTTTTCTCTTTTTTTATTATTTTATGCTCACTATCTCACTCTGTCTGCCCCCCCCCCCTCTCTCTCTCTCTCTCTCTCTCTCTCTCTCTCTCCTCTCTCTCTATCTCTCTCTCTCTCTCTCTCTCTCTCTCTCTCTCTCTCTCTCTCTCTCTCTCTCTCTTCTCTCTTCTCTCCTCTCTCTCTCTCTCTCTCTCTCTCTCTCTCTCTCTCTCTCTCTCTCTCTCTCTCTCTCTCTCTCTCTCTCTCTCTCTTTTCTCTCTCTCTCCTCTACTTTCTCCATCCCTCCATCTCTTCTTACTTTCTCCCACTTTCCTCCTTCCCTCTCCTCTACCCTTTCCTACTTTCTCCCTCCTTCCCTCACCCACACCTCTTTCCACACGTCTTCCCTATCTTTCCATTCCTCCCTCTCCCTCCACCCCTCCTCCTCTCCCTCACACCCTCCCTCTCTCTCTCTCTCTCTCTCTCTCTCTCTCTCTCCTCTCTCTCTCTCTCTCTCTCTCTCTCTCTCTCTCATCCTCCCTCCCTCCCTCCCTCCTCCCTCCTTCCCTCCTCCCTCCCTCCCTCCCTCCCATCCTCCCTCCCTCCCTCCCTCCTCTCCCTCACACCCTCCCTCCCTCCCTCTCCTACACCCTCCCCCACACCTCACCTCCTCTCCCTCCCTCCCTCTCCCACACACACCCTCCCAACAACAACCTCCCACCGGACCTTAATCTTAACGCCAAAGCATCCTTCATCTCCCCAGCACGTTATCTGACCTGATGCCCCCGCTGGAGATGCTGCTGAAGGGGTTGGAGGGAGCCACGGACCCCAGCGCCCCCCTTCACGTCCTGAGGGCCTTGTCCTTGAAACTTACCCTCGGCCGCTACTTGCTCGGTAAGGAAGAGAGAGGTCAAAGGAGGTCAAAGGAGGTCCTCGGATTTGTTGTCGTTGTTGTTGTTTTACTGCTGTTTCGTTGTATCTTCATTTATTGTCTACGTAATCATTATTGGCATCACTGCATGGCCATTACTACTATTATCATTTTCATAATCAACAACAGTATGATTATCATCATTATCGCCAACATTAGTATCATCATCATCTTTTTTATCATATTCTCACCATGACCACAATCATCATCATCAGCACCACCACCACCACCACCACCATTACCATAATCATCAACACCACCATCAACACCACCATCATACTTACCACTGATAATAATAATGCTAATGACAATAAAACACCAACAATAACGGTAATAATGATAATGATGATGATATTAAAGATAATGATTATGATATCAATAATAGTAACATCAATAATAATAGTAATAGCAATGATAATAATAATATCAATAATAATAAAAGTATCAATAATGTTAGTAGTAATAATCCTGATAACGTTAATTCTAATTCTAATGATAATAGCAATGATAGCGACAATGGCAATGATAACGATAATGAGAATGAGACTGATAGTAATGCAATAATGGTAGTCATACTACTACTACTGCTACTACTACTACTACTACTACAACTACTGCAACTTCAGATAAAAGAGTCATGTAAAAATGATAATAAACCAGATAACAGAGAGTCATGTAAATAATGATGATAACCCGCAAACAGCTGGCAGCATCCGGGATCTTCTGGGCGGGGCTTCAACGCTGCAAAGCCTCGTGGAGACGATGACGTCACAGCTGCCGTATGCCCTGAGGGACGTGGTGGGCGCCGTGGCACAGGAGCCCAAGGAGGTGCGTAGAGAGCGCATGCGTGGCACTCAGGTTCACTTTTTACGAAGACTGCAGAGGCTGATGTTCACTTTTTCACGAGAAAGTTTCATTTTTTTGAAGGTGTTGATTATTCTCAAACCAAAATTCAAAGCGGAACAGAAACATTTTCTTTTTTTTTTAGATATTCACTCGGGTATATCTTTTTGTTTTACTAATTTTGTACCAAGAGAATATTAGACGTTATAGGAAGATATGAAATGAATTTGGCACAATATGAAATTTAAAATCAGAATCCGAGTCGATTTTGCTCGCTGTGGCATTCTTGTTATGTATTTATTCCCTTGGTTAATTTCTAGTAAAGATTTCAGATAATGTCATTTTGGACAAGCAGGATGATCTGGCAATTCCGTTTATATATAACAAAATGCTTTCATATGATTTTCGAGACTCAAAAAAAGGAAAGGTACTAAAAAAGTTAATAATAAGCAAATCAGCCAGACCGCTTGCATCATTCAAAACTAAAAAAGAACAAAAAAATACATGACCTCTTATCCTGGCTTAAAAGCAGTCCCTCTCAACCCCTCCCCCCCCCTCCCCCTCCCCCCAGGTGGCCAAAGTGATCGAGTCCCTGAGCGCAGACTCGTGGGCCTCCGTCTGCCAGGAGGACCTCGAGAAGTTCGGCCAGTCTCTCCAGGCTTTTAAGGACAGCCTCTGCCAAGTGAACCCTCAGGACATCGCTGGCGACTTCAATAAGCTCTTGAAGATCGACGTCCTCCAGGTGAGAAATGGTGTGGATGCTGATGTGGTTTGTTTTACGAGTCGAATGTTCACAGTGGGAGGTCAAAGCAAGGTCTAGTTCGATCCGACATTTGTTTATCTCATAGCTGTGTCGAATCGAAAGTATAACTCATATAAGCCATTAAACTTCAAAAAAACGTAAATCTTGGTCTAAACACAATCCCCTCTTATCGACAGGGCATCACGCCAGTTAATCTCGAGGAGGTTCTCAACGCGAGCTTGAATTTGGCGCGAGATTTGAAAGGCCAAGAATCCCTCCTTCAGAAGTTCGAAGACCCGGTGACCTACTTGGGGCTGGAGACGTGGCTCAACATCCACAGCCTCGTGTTTAATGTTACGGCGGACGAGATGTGGGAAAATAGGTGAGTTGTTGGACCTTTTTGCTCATAATGAATAGATTTTTTATAATGTATAGATTATTTATTAAGTATGATGATTACAAACACGGTTGCTTAATGGAGAAGGAAATACATATACACTTAATGTCAGTTGTACACTCTCCCATAAATTCTGTTCCTACTAATTCTTTTTTCAGTATGATTTTCAAAAAAGCTACAAATAATACGACTAATAGAGAATGATATACACATGATTTCAGTTATACACTACCTCTCAAATTCCGCTCCCATTAATATATTTCTTCAGGAAAGAATTACTTTCCTCACTGACTTCCCTCCCTTCCCTCTCCTCGCCACAGCACCATGATCCTAGCGACCGCCTTAGGACCCCTTGTGAACCTGAGCTTCGAGTTGAGCCCAGAGGAAACGGTGGTCTTGAGGGAGGTCCTGGCGGAGGCGGGGAGGTACCTGCGTGGCGCCAAGTTCTTCTTGGCACTGGCTCGGGGCGGCGACACGTGGCAGTTCATCAGGGAGGCAAGTCTAAGATGCGATTGTGGTCTGTTGTTAAAGGCTCCATCACGCTGTCACTGTTTCCGTCAATTTTTGCGTTTCCGAATGAAGTTTCCTTGTGAAATTCGACTGACCTATCACATTGCCAAGGCAGCAAAAATTGCCCATGTAAACAAACCTGGCGCTATCGGAGTGAGGGCCCAGGAATCACACGAACATACTCATACATAATACGTTATTTTAAGGTAATATGTTGGTGTGCATTGGATATACGAATGTTCCTAAGTATTAGCTTATGCTTATATTTACTCATTCTATCTAATGTATCAATAATAAAACCTAGCTGTATAGATCCTTCGTAGCACAAGATCAAGACGGAAATAAGTCCACGCAACCGCCTTCGTCTGGGAGGTGTTGCGAAAGCCTCAAATCCAAAATTGACGGAAAAAGTGCTAGTGCGATATGGCCTTATTAGACTGAAAATGTTTGTTATTGCTGTTGTTGTTGCTAATTATGTAGGTCTGATTATTAAGATATAATGATATGCGGTTAGACAAAAATGTTCATTCATAACTTCCAAATAAATGTCTCGAATTCTGAGTACAAATGAACGAAGTATTAAGCAGTGTCTCCAGTATCTTTCGAATGTGTGTGTTCCCTAGGTCTATGCGGACAAACCTGTGGTGGTCAAGTTCCTCGACATAGCAGAGAAACTTCCCGACTTCTTCTACGAGCATGGCATGTTCTTCGGAAACTTCACTGTGGTAAGATATATGGAATTTCTAAATTTATAGAAAGAAAAAAAAGACAGTCTCCTTGGTTTTGTTTGAACGTCTCTTTAAACCTAACACTTTTACCTGATTTGTATCAACCTGCAAGAGTTCTCAGATGTTCTATGATGTAAGTCGGTCGTCTACAAGACAGTTTTCTAGATGCTTTTTTACTGCTATTTGTAGGTGTTGGAATAGGTTGCCTTCAGAGATTGTAACTTCTCCGACTTGATAAATTTAAAAGATCAGCTAACACGTTTTTCTTGTGTAAATAGCTGACTTTCCATTCATTCATTCTTTCTTAGCTGTATCTTAACCTGCTCTGACACTTTTGGTGGTATAAATCTCCATTTTTTCAGTGTGGCTCTTTATATAGCTTACAATAATAATAATTATAATAATAACAATAATAATAATAATAATAATTTTGACTTCTATCAAAATATACCCAACACATCCTGACGTCTTGCAGTTGTCTCAAGTCATACTGCTGGGTAGTGACACCCCTTGCAACCTGCTATTCTTCCTGCTGGACGGCCACCGAGACCTCATGAGGAACGAAAGCGCCGCCCTGCTGAGGGAGGTGTTCCAGTTCGTGTGCGACCCTCAGCAGTTATCGCTCTTGCAGTCTCAGCTTGTGCCCACAACGCCCCCTGTCATTGTGGTAACTACGGACTCGAATATTACAGCAGCCTTAATGAATTATGTCACTTAATTTCAGCGATATGGATGTGTTATTAGGAAAGAGTGTTGTAACCCGAATCAGTTTTGCTAATTCTTGCCAGTGCATCTCTACATTGCGGATATGACCTCGGGAAACTATTAGTTATTGTCTCTGTCATGTTTCTTCTTCACAGAACGTCACCATGGAGGTCGACGCAGCGACCCTCGGGCTCCTCATAGACCACGTGGCTTGGGACGTCGTGAAGATCGCCCAGGGAAGGTTCTTCGAGGGTGACGTACGGCTCCCCCTCTGGCTCCAGAGGCAGAGCTGGGAGAAGGTCCTGCTCATGCTGGAACACTACCAAAGAGAGACGTGAGTGTTGATGCACTGATGTTAATTATGGTATTATTACTTCTGCTGCGAAGGGTTGACGTTATCTTGACTGTACTTTGAACATTTACATTACAGTAAAGTTAGTTTTCTCAAGTCATAGGCCTATAGGAAATACGGTCACTGGATCACAAGAGACAAAAACAAAACTAAAGCTCACAAGGTCAAAGTCAGACTTGGGGTAAATTCCAGTCTTATAGGTCTAGTATAAAACTAGAGAAAAATGAAACACATCGTATAGTGTATTCCCCCCTCATGTCCCCTCTCTCTCTTTCTTTTCTCTCTCTCTCTCTCTCTCTCTCTCTCTCTCTCTCTCTCTCTTCTCTCTCTCTCTCTCTCTCTCTCTCTCTCTCTCTCTCTCTCTCTCTCTCTCTCTCTCTCTCTCTCTCATTCTCTCCCTCTCCCATTTCTCCTTCCCTTTCCCTGCCCTCTCCCTTCCTCTCATTCTCCCCTCCCTCTCGCTTTCTCCTTTCTCTATCTATATTTCTCCTTCCCTGTTACCTCCTTCCCTCCCATTCCATCTCCCTCTCCTCCCTCCTACACCGCTCCCCATTTGGCGAACTCGCAACCCCCACCCACCTCGCCCTCTCCCTCCCTCCTCAGAACCATCCAGGACGTGGTGGTGCTCTTGGCTGGCCTCGGGCTGGACGCGGCGCGGCTTCGTCTGGACCAGCAGTACATCGTCCCGGCGGCTGGTTTGGTGTTCAACCTCGCTTCCCGCTTCGTCACTGCCGTCGATGGTATGCCTGGCTGGTTCCTTGGGTTATTTTGTGGTTCAGGGTTTCTGTAGGGATTTTTTTTTTAGGTCGGTTAAGGGTCAGAGTTGCTATGTTGTAATCAAAATCGAACTTCTATATTTCATTACGATATGTATATATATATATATATATATATATATATATATATATATATATATATATATATATATATATATATATATATATATATATATTACACTTGAAGGTCATTTGGCCCAAACATTCTTGGTAGTAAATCAGGTTTCGCTGTTCTTCTGAGAAAGAGCACGGCTGCTTATCTCAAATAGGAAAATTTATTAAAGAGCACATATAACCCCACAGAAAACACCGGAGAGCTCGACTTGGAGGTGTTTACAGAAGGTTTGGGTTCTGTGGCGAATCTGCAGCAGGAGGTGGTGCCGATGCTGGCTGATCTCTTGGCTCTCGTCCTGTGGTTCCCGGAGTCGAAAGTAAGATGGTCGAGGCTTCTTCCTGTTGACAAATGAAAAAAGGGAAGGTTCCAGACCGAATAGTAGACTGTAGTGTCGCGTAAACTTATTAAAGAACACTAAGTGATATTTGTCCCATTCATTTTTCAGATGTACTATGGCCTGCTGTCAGGTGTTCCCCCGCTGGAGCTGTATGAGAACATGTGCCAAGGCGATATTAAGGAATACCTGTTGCACCCGAGCTTGAGCGAAGCGAGGTGGCAGACCGTCCAAGACCTCCTGTGCACAACGAACTTCGACGACCTCCAGAAAGACCTGGCGCCCCTCTTCAACACGACCCCTATAGTGGACGGCGTCGTAAGTCCACATTGATGGCTGTTTGTTCAGTATTCCGGACGAACAAAATTACAATGGTTGTAGAGTTTTCTATCCAGATGCGAACTTAAATTTGTATATTTAAATAACGGGACAAAAAATCATAATCCGCTTGGTTATTTCAACTCTTTCAAGACTCCTACAATCGTCAAATCATTATAAAAATTAATAATAAACAAACAAATAAAACTCGAATATGCAATGGCATCGACTTCACACCCAAACGAACCCCAGCCTCACACTTCTCTTCTCGACACAGGCGGTGAAGTGGGTGCTGGTGGGCGCAGAGGTGGAGAAAGTTGTATGGAGGTTCAACGTCGAAGCTCTTGGCTTTTTGGACGTCTTGCACGGGAATCCTTACTTCCAGTCGCTGGAAAATGTTACATCAGGGTGAGTTTTTTCACGTCTTTTTGTAGGGACATACTTTAGATTCTTTATACTAAGTAGTATGTCGTGTTGCCAGATCATGTTATGTTTTCCTATAATTATTTAGTCCATTGAATGTCTTTCGTTCCCTCTCTCTCTCTCTCTCTCTCTCTCTTCTCTCTCTCTCTCTCTCTCTCTCTCTCTCTCTCTCTCTCTCTCTCTCTCTCTCTCTCTCTCTCTCTCTCTCTCTCTCTCTCTCTCTCTCTCTCTCTCCCTCCCTCTCCCCCTCTCCCTCTCTCTCCCTCTCCCTCCCTCTCCCTCTCCCCTCTCCTCTCTCCCTCTCTCTCTCTCTCTCTTTCTCTTCTCTCTTCTCTTTCTCTTTTCTCTCCTCTCTTCTCTTCTCTCTTTCTCTTTCTCTTTCTCTCCCCCTCCCTCCCCTCCTTCCGCTCATCCACTCCACCCCTTCCCTCTATTCCTTCCTCCCTCCCTCCCCCTTCCCTCCTTCCCTCCTTCCCTCTTCCTTCCTCCCTCCTCCCTCCCTCCTTCCCTCCTCCCTCCTTCCCTCCCTCCCTTCTCCTCCTTCCCTCCTTCCCTCCTTCCCTCCTCCCTCTTCCCTCCCCCCCTCCCTCCTTCTCTCTCCCTCTCTCCTACAACAAGGACCTGTGTCATCACTTTCCTTCTCCGCCGCAGACTGGCTCGAGGCCTGGTCATGGCCACAACCTCCGTGGTGCCTTTGGTGAAGCAGGGACCCACCTACGAGATGCAGCGGTATGCCGAGGTTCTCATCAGCATCATGGTGGCGCTAGAACCCATTGCCGAGCCAGGTTAGTCACATTGGGTGTTAATGGACCGAATGGGTGCTGAGTCTAAAGATAGAGTAGGTGACGTATGGGTTTTGATGATGGAATTACATAGGGTGTTGAGTCTAAAGATAGGGTGGATAGAATATTGGTTGGGTGGATATATGTTTTTTTATTATAAAAAAAGAGGAGAGGGAGAGAGGGAAAGAGTAAGTAAGTAAAACAGGGAGAGAGAATAGAAGGGAGAACGAGAAAGAGGGGAAGGAAGAAGGAAGAGTAAGGAGGGAAAGAGAGAGTGGTAGAGAGAGAAAAACATATATCAGAATACTTCATGAAACAAACAAAAACTAAAAAAGGATAAATCAACATTTCAAAATAAATACCCAAGAAAAGGGAACAAAACAAACAAAATACGACTCATAAAGAAAAGAAAGAAAGAACTAACAAAAGTAAGAAAGTAAAACGAAAAAAAATGGAAACGAGTGAAAGCAAGAACAGTATTAACCAGCACCTCCTTGCAGGCTCCCCGAGGTTGTCCTCCCGCCTCCAGGACCCGGAGCAGATGCAGGCTTTGTTGGAGGAATACACGCGCGCGGTGCGAAACTTCAACGCCAGGAGAGCGGAACTGCAGCTGAAGTACCAAGTAAGTATTGACGAGAAGCGCGATCTTTCATTGGTATTGGTATCGAAGAGGTAGTTCGTATATATTTGTGTGTCATTTTTTGTGTATTGTAAATTGCGTAGTTTTTGTCTACATTGTAACTGTTTGTGGATTAATTTGTTTGATATTCCGTTGTATAGATTAAAAGTTTGATGCATGTTATATCATATACTGTGTAGAATGACACCTTATGTAAAGAATGGTATGCCTGGAATTGTCATGTATGGGTATTAATCAATATCCATCATTAATATGTATTGCCATTTAATTTAACTAAACTGTCATCAGAGTGAGATACATTTTAACCTCTCCCGCACGACGACATTTCTGTGATAGTTGCTCATGGTGGAAGGGTCAAGCGATCTGCGCCGTATTCTGGAGGAGTTTGTGGCCAGACTCAAGACCTCGCCACTGTGGCTGGACGTGACTAGCAGCATAGTAAATGGACTCTCGGGAAGTCAGCGGCCTGCTGCGGAGATGCTCGACATGCTAGAGCAGATCGTAGCCTTGCGCCCTTCGCAGTGGCTTGGCTTCGTGAGCGCGCGACCCAGCTGGAGCGAGGCGGACTTGAGCTACCTCCTGCACGCCGCTGTAAGGCTGCACGCCTTCCAGCCCCCGTTTTTGTTTCTCTCTCTCGCTTGGAAGCGTGTTCTCCCTTCGAAAACATCCCTCGTGTAAAAGGGATTTCGATTTCTGAGATGGCTTCCGGTTTCTTCGCAAGTTTTGTTATTCAAAGGGCTAAAGATCTGGAGTTCAAAGCAGGTGACGAGACACTGGCTTCTGGTGACACCTTCGGCCCAGCTGGTTTTTTTTTTCGCGAGTCGTGTACATACCAGTAAATATATGTATATTTTTGCAGGCATTTTGCAAAATGTTGGGGAATTTGTGCAGTGCGACTAGTATGCTGATAAATATACTGTAATATAATTGTATTGTGCACCTTTTTACAATATGATCTACAGCGCACAGATTGTTGGTATAAGGAAACTGTTAATCTTATTTTCGCAAGGCGTCTGTACAGTATAACAATGTTTTGTTCGTCACTCAAACTACACTGCATTCAAAGGTAGCATAACTGAGGTATACCTTCAGTAAATGCACATCAGTGAATGTACTGTATGACATACTCCTTGCCGATTTGTTTTTCAACTTCATTTTTTATTATTATTTAGAGACAAGACACACAATGTACAAACTTTCATGTTTTTGTGATTTCATCATGATTATGCATCATTCGGGGAGGTTTATCAAATATGATACACACCGTGGTTCTGTTAAGCTTATTTTATCGAAAACGAAAGCTTTTACATTTACTCTTAGATTTGCTTCATGTAAATAAGCACGCTATTATAAAAAACTAAACAATAAACATGATATAAAAAATAATATAGACATATATATATATATATATATATATATATATATATAATATATATATATATATATATATATATATATAAATAACGAATCCCAGTAGCACATACCCATTTTTAAATAATATTTCCTGTTATTTCCTCTTCCTTTCGTACACTATTTATCAGATCTCCTTCCTCCAACAGCCTGCAACATGGCTACCGTCCTCGTCGACGGCGCAG